CCGTTGGGGCCGTTGAACGGCCGTTGCACGACCATGCCACGACTGTCAGCAACGGCCGGTCTAGGCCGGATTTCGAAAAACTTTTCCCGATGTAGAGGCTGTAATATTAAAGCTTAATATATAGTTATGTACTCCACCACTACCTCCTGTAGATAAGAGTATCTAGGAGTCTAAAACACTAAGCAACACCCTAGAGTTTAGGTCTTAATTAAAGCTAATATAAGAGAGTATTTAGAGACACGCTAATAGCTTACTAATATTAATAGTTAACACTCTTAATTAGCTTACTAAAGGCGCAGAGCTAATAGCGCATTTACTAATTTTAGTGCGTAACTAGGTTGCTAACCTATAGGCAGCTAATAAGGCTGCTATATATTATAAATTACATAAAAGTGTAACGGTCTAGACTCTAAAGCTAAAGAAGAGCTAGAGCTAGCCGGTTACATTAGCTTAGCCGGCTTGGCTTAAGCTAGATATACATTATCTACGCAGTTAACTAGACGTCTAGTTAACTTGTGCATGCTTTTTAGCAAAAGTTGTTAGGAAGTAGATATCCTTTATTGGCCTTTGGCCAGACTACTACAAAAAGAAAGTAAATTTAGTATAAAGGGACACTAATATTTAGTAAGGGAGTGTAGCTAACTACTCTAAAGGAGTTTAAGGCCTGTAGTAATAGGAAGACGGCAAAGAAGAGAGTGCAAGCTAATAGGAGCACTTAGTCTTTAAGACGCTGTAGCACATGTAGCAAGACAGGGCACAACGCGCAGATATATAGTAAAGATGCGCAGAGTACTATAGACTAGTCTAATATACTACGCAGTGTAATATATAGTTGTTGTGTGCTGTAATGTTGCAAAGTAGTTACAGTGTTGGTGTGGCCTTGGCAAAAGTGACCGGCTCGCTTGGGTGACCGGCTCGCTTGTGGAGTACGTTAATGCCAAATTCTGTACTATCTGTCTTGTAGGTGGCAAGTAACGCCTGGTTAGCTTCTCTATATACTTGACTAGATCCTCCTCTTGTTAGTGGTTGAGTTTTTAGTTGTTGCGATGCTTAATATGTTGAGGGACCTGCACGCCTTGGTGCGCGCGCGACAAAGTTGTACGCGATACGCTATGTTTCTCTGCAATTTCTGTATATACAAGTTCTTCTCCTAGTCTTTTTGCAGCTATCTATGCAAGGGCATCGCTTAATCCTGGCATGGTGTTGAGTTGCTACGTGTTGAAATCTGGTGTAGATGGTACGCGCCGGGCGTTCGGTCCGAGCCTGTACAGCCATTACAAATTTGAGGCTGTAGAGCCACATACAATAGCTATTATCACAAGATATTTTGGTTGATTATTCTATAGACCTAAGCAATAAAGTTTCTAATACAAAGTCACTAATATTTAGTGGCAGTGCGGTCGCTGCGTGTGGTGATAGTTGGGCGTTGTGGAGGAGGCGTTGCAGGCTTTAGATAACTACAGTTACCTACACCTTAACACATAGGCTCCTATTTAATTATGAAAGCTTTTAAACCTGTACAATTGCCTTTTTAGGATAATCTAAGAGATTTTATAGCGTCACAAGCCTCTTTATTCTTGCGTCTTTACTCTTTGCGCGCATTAATGGCTGCGCGTTCCTTAGCACGCTCATGATCACGTACCTCTTTTGCCTTTGCAGCTGCTACACGCTTTTCTTCTGCAGTCTTCTCAGTGTAGAGCTTGTTGGCAGAAGCTAAGTCCTTTATTTCCGCTTTTTTAGATCATCTGCTTGCTTCTCTTGTTCTGTAACAGCCATAGAGGGGCGCGCCTCCCAGAAGGCCTAATGTGTAGTAGTCTGGCCAAAGGCCAATAAAGGATATCTACTTCCTAACAACTTTTGCTAAAAAGCATGCACAAGTTAACTAGACGTCCAGTTAACTGCGTAGATAATATATATCTAGCTTAAGCCAAGCTGGCTAAGCTAGTGTAACCGGCTAGCTCTAGCTCTTCTTTAGCTTTAGAGTCTAGACCGTTACAACACAGGCAAGAAGAGAGATATCCGGAACAGGTGTGAATCTGCTATAAGGCATATAGGAGTGCTAGGATAATAAGAACACTAGGATATATTCTCTACACCTATAGGTCTTGTATAAAAGGATATAGAAAAACTACTCTATAATGCTATAGTTCCTTGATCCTTATACTATATAAGGGTTTAGTAGCAGTTTAGTGCAACCTTATGCTATGCAACAAGGGCCATGGTCATAAGTCGCTAGAACTGTATCCTAGTGGTATCGGGTCACTGTTCGTAGCGCGTTGTTACAGGCTGGACTGCCTTTGGCTAACCTTGTTAACTTAGTACTAGTCTTAATTTACACAGGTGGCGCATCATGTCGACGAACACGTGAGGATCAAGACACTCGTCATAAACATAATCGACTATTCTAGATATGTCAGCGATGCCTATCATCCGAACAAACGAGAATGAAGTCCCTATCCTCTTCATCATAATGTCTGCACCCGAGATCCACACACGCAATCTGCTTATCAGGGTCATCGTGTCCTCAAACCAGGGGCGCCTGTGCGATGTACTGACCCTCATCATCGCCAATAATGCAGATGCGCTTGATGCGGTGTGCAATCTCTGCTTCGCCAACAAGGCGAACTCAAGTAGACCACAAGTGGCAGAGGTGCAGAGGTTGTGGCTTCTTATGCCACAACTGTTCTAAGTCGACTTCCGAGAGAAGAGGCCACTAACGAGGAATACAGGGCGGCGATAGAAGTTTCCGAGCTGTCTGGTGAAGCTTCAGGAAGCATGCAGCAGACTGGTTCGAGGAGGAAGTAGGAATATACAAGTCAAAGATACGAATTGTGCGGTCAATGCGACAAACAGTACAAAATAACGGAGAACAAGACAGGCAATTGTATTTCGCACATTTGTTAGCAATTCTCAGCCTGAGTTGGCAGCTATCCGACTGACTGTTTTGCAGAGGAACTTGATTCTGACGAGGAAGCTGGCGTCTGGGAGGAATGAGACGAGGGCTGTCAAGGATATCAAGACACTTATGACAATCGCCAAGATTTCCCGCATGGCTTTAAGATTTCGTGTTGTGACGGGCAGACCTCTTTCTGGGTGTAAGAAAAGTGTTCATCGACCTGATCAAGTGACGAGACTGAGGATGCTTGTTTGAGGCTTCCAATTGAGAGTGGGTAGAAACAACGTCTAGCTACGTTATTTACGTAGTCGAAGGTTCAACCGCTTGAAGCAAGCTCTTCAAAGTCGTATCCGTACACAATTGCGTCGATCTTCCTACCAGGATAGCTCTTCAGCACTCCACACTTCTTGACTCGCCCGATCCTCTCGAAGCCTAAAGAGTCCCAAATCTTCGTAGAGGCCACATTTGTTTCGTAAACCAGGTTGAAGACTGAGTAGGTGAACCCCTATGCAAATCAGCTGGTGTGTTCTGGGCGCCACAAAACTAACACATACGAGCTGCGGTGCCCACTTCAGGTACTGTCTGCCCAGTAACTTCCCAACACCCTTGTTTCTTGCCGCGCTAGTCACCAGGAACCCGGCGTTGCAGACATGGCTACTTCGCCCCGGGTAATTTGGCTTGGTGTAAAAACTACCCAAACATATTTTACTCCAGTCTACGTCCAGGTTTCTAACGTCTTCCGAGCTCTTGAAGTCACCCTGGAGCACGACTGCGCCAAACACGCCGAACCAGTAAGGACCGAATGCCTCCAAAGGCAGTGCTTCAAGCATCGGGTATGTGTCGCCGGCCTCGATCTCGGCTGAGAGCTGTGTATGCAGGAAAGCCACCAACGATTGGGGAACTTGGTCCAAAGAAGTGAAGGGGAGGATAGTTGCAGATGAGCCATTCTTCAAAGACACGTGCTGCGGTGTGAATTCTTGTGCTCTTCTGTCGACCTTGTGGAGGATTGGCGGAGAAGTTGGATCGTCGAGCATTGCCGGCATGGTGGTGGCGGGGATATTGGAATGAATCGAGGTGGAATGAATCGAGGTGGAATGAATCGAGGTGGAATGAATCGAGGTGGAATGAATCGAGGTATGACTTGATGAATAAAACAGGGCTTGGTGGTGGGCTGAAGGCTCAATGCCAGTTTTGAGGGCAAGGCATAGGGAATTCATGGTTTGCAGACCAATCGCAAGCGCGGGGCTCCGATCTCGCACCTTCGTTCTTCTGTCCATCGGATAACAACTCTTCAACCTACAACACAACAGCATAAGGAGTTGACATCGCGAGAACGGATAGAAAGATCGTGTGCCAAAATTGATAGTTGCAGTGCTCAATTTTCCCGGTCACAACGTTTTCTTCATCGTACCGGTAGTCTACCTAGCGGTAATTCCAATCCTGATGACCACAATTATGTCTCCGCCAACATCACAAATTCTATTTTGCCGTCACAGCAGCAATATCAGACCAAGTGAACTTGCTACCCTACGATTGGATTTATTAAATTCCTAGAACAGAGTACATAGCGAATACTGGAACACTACTGCAACCGGTGAAACTAATGCCCATTGCCTAGAAATGAGGAGCCCCTGCATAAGAAGCAAAGGCTGGCCGCAGAGAAAAGCATACCAATAAATTCCAACATTCTCAACCAGAGCTTATATGAAACCATTGAACGTGGGGAGCAGATTCTTAAGACACGGGAACCAGCGAAGACAAGGTGGATAGCACTGATATGGAGGGAAAAGCTGCTTCGCTAGAAGATCATAACTTCAGCACTGGAACCGATAACGGAGTACTGAATCACGGGAAGACCGTGCAGAGGACTTGGAAGCAGGAGGCGGCGGCATGGCGAGAGGCATAGCAGCAACGTGAGCTGCAATCCTAACAGTAGTGGACGTAGAATCGTGCGGCAGGCAAGTTTGGAACGAGAAGGAACTGGTATGGGGGAGTCATCGAAAATGTTTCTACCTTTCCTACTCCGCGATGCTTTGCTTATGCACATCATCCACCTATATATCCACCGGCGCACCGCCCTTCTCACCACTTCTCAGTGCTGCCTCCAGAATCTTCAAGTCTTCCAGCGCCTCCATTGGGCTCTGCCTCTTATTCGGCTTTCCCGCTGCCAACCCCTCAGCCCACGCCTTAACCTCCTGCTTAACCCCACTGCCCTCCTCCGGGCACTCCTTGGTCTCAGTGTTCCCGTCCCTGGTCACTTCCACCTTGCTTCTCGTTACAGTCACCGTACCTTTTTCAGCAGCAACAACGTACTCGCTCCCGCTATCCGTGGTGCCAAACGAGATGCTCAGCGTACCTGAGACACCTGACGTGGTTTGGAGCGTAGCGTGCAGAGTATCGACAGGAGGGAGATGTCTCTGCAACTGCGCCGTAAACGCGCTCAACTTGCTCACCACCTCGCCTCCACCCTGCAATAGCAACCTCGTCCCTGCGATGAAATGTACGCCACCATCTAGCAAGAATCCACCTTGGTATTCCGGCACCTTCCGCCACGGCGTCTCGAAGTACTTGCCGCCCGGCGTAACGAACAGACTCACACGGCTCCGGAAGGTCAGGATGCGGCCGAGGTCTTTTAACGCTGAGGACGCGTACAGGAAAGAGTCCATGTAGCGGAAGTTCTCGGCCACGGAGTATGACGCGCTGGTATTGGCTGGGTCGGAAGTCCATGCCATGAGTTCTTGCGCGGTTGCAACATCCTTTGCGATGGGTTTCTCGGCCAGTACGTGTTTGCCTGCTGCCAATGCTTTTTTGATGTATTCTAGCTGTACGAGGATGGGTAAACTGTTCAAATAAATACTCGTTCTTCCAAAGATGTAGAGTCAGGAAGATGACGCACGCGATGATCACGCCCTTGATATCTTCGCGCTTGAGGAGATCGTCATAGGTCTTTCCTTCCGAGTCTTCGCTGTACAAGTCGATGTCGGAGAGGTGCTCGGAGACGGCTTTTGCGGACTTGAGCGAGCGCGAGTAGATTGCTTTTAAGCTGAGGAGCTGCGTTGCCTGGACAGCGGGGAGATGCTCGTCTTTGACGAAGATGCCGCTTCCCACGAGTGCGATTCCGGTGGCCATTAGGCAGATCAACGATTGGAGAGGCGTGAGAGGTATGGTTATGGAGATGAAGGATTGAGAAGGGCCCTTCGTTTGTGCAATAGTTTGGTGACGGCGTTGAACATGTCTTGCAACGTCGTCTCTGATTCAGACAGTCCTGGAAATCGAACAGCGGCTAGACGGCAATTGTGGAACAGCGTGCTGTTTAAGACGAAAAACACCCAATTACCTCATCGATTGTGGGGCTCAATTTGGTGTTTCTTGCCGGATAAGGCATGTTTAAGAGTCCTCCGCGGAGCTAGTTTCGACCCCTGCCGATCTAGGATGTCGCGAGAAGGTGTTCCAAGAACTGAATGAATTGTTTATTTATCCTTTCTTGGGCGTAGTCACTAGGTCAAATGGTATGTTCTATTGTTGGGTATCTAGATGGTCTATGCAACCATGCCTCAAGGTGACGAGTTTTGTGGGCTTCATGCAACGCTGTGCTGTTTGATGTTCTCTTCAACTTGCTCGTCTGCAATCCCAAGCTTCTCCAGATCAACCGTCAAGGGGTCGCTTTCTTGGGTGCTCTCTGCAGGTCCTTCATAGCCCGGTGGTGGCACAGCCCACTCAGGCAGCCCTGTCTGGTAATCCCATTTCCCATCCTCACACCTGTACCTCCTCGCATGCAGGTAAATGCCCAGCTCGTGTGCACCTGGATCGCTGTACAGCGGGGTGTCGCACACGTTACAGGTCTCGCCAGTCTGCTTCTCTGCCTTCCTTTTGTTATATGCATCTACCATCTCGTCATGGTATGCAACGGCATCAGCTACTTCCTCCTTGCCCATTCGTGCCAGGCGAGCCGTGATATCGTCATCGTTCTCGTCTTCGGACATGCCACGTCCGAGCGAAGGGCCGAAGACGCGCTGGTTGGCGTAGATGGGGTCGTTCGAGATAGGATGACCGAGGTATTGGAGATGGACGCGGAGCTGATGTGTGCGCCCTGTGACAGGGAAGCATCGTACGATCGAGTAGCCTCGTAGCCTCTTCCACGGCTGGCCCTCATGGTCTGCATCCTCCGTCTTCTCCTCTTTGGGCTTGCCATTGTCCTTTGGTGGGTAATACGCCAACCGCTTGAACACGGTCCTCGACTCTCTGCCGTTTGCACGTACTGCGTTCAGGCCGAGTTTGGGGCTGATCTGGAGGATAGGCTTCTCGCACACGACTTCGCCCTCTGGGAACTCGCCCGCCACGCGACATATGTACTCCTTCTTGACGGTGCGCTCTCGTATTTGCGCACTCATGTCCTCAGCAGCTTGCTTGTGCTTTCCAATGAACATGATGCCGCTTGTCAGTCGGTCCAGTCTGTTGCAGGGCAGTGGGTTCCATCCGTGTCCTCGGTCTGCTCTCAAGACCTCGATGATCGAGTTGAAGTTGTATCTACCCGCTGGGTGGACTGGCATGCCCGCGGGCTTGTCGATGACGATGATGTTGTCATCCTCGTGAACGATGCCAATAGGGCTCGCTGTGCATGGTGGCTCATGTCGATGGAGGGTATGTGAGATGACATCGCCGTTCTTCACTATGGTGCTAGTGCTCGGCACTGCCTTGCCATTCAGGACAACGCGCCCGTCTTTAATGGCCTGCTCATAATACTCCTGCGGTCGATCACGGAACTCGCTCGCGAAGATGTCGAGGATCTCGCGCCCCCTCCAGCGCTCTTTGCAGAATGTGTTGTATGTGTAGTGGTACGGCATCACCTTGCGCAGGCCATCTTCGAGATAGTACGGCGGCGGCCATGGATTGCAGGGCGTGATGGCAACCTTTGGTGGCTCCTTCCACGGGAATATGTCGTTAGGCAGGGGCGGATACTTGTCGCGCCCAGGCGAGGGCACGAGAGCCATGATAGTAGCGCCGGAGGGTGTATTCGGAACGGGCAATCGTCCTCTGGACCTCAGGTAGGCGAGGATGCGAGGTGAGGGCATGTGACCCACGGACGAATGCGGGGCTCTGTTGCTCTCTGCGTGGGCCGGGACTTGGGTGAAGAAAAAGCGAGCTGCGCTGCATGAGCCGAGGCTTGACGTTATCGATAATGCATGACGCGTCTTGCGTGCTTCATCACCGCGTCTTCATATCGAAGTGTTGGACTACATCGAAATGGCTCATAATGCACTGAAGGCACGCCGTCGCAGCGACTACAAATTCCAGCTCGAGTACCGAACACGGTGGTAGGCTGCTGCCCTGCACGGCAGGATAAACATCCGTTAACCTGGGCCAGGAGCGACAACGACATGTACCATCACCTCAACAACAGCGTGTACTACTACCTCTTTGACTCGGTCGTGAACACATACCTGATCAAGCACTGCTCTTTGCATCCGCCTACTTCCTCTCAAATCGGTCTTGTCGTGCACTCACACTGCGACTATTTTGCACCCACTGAATTCCCAGCCGTCATAGACCTCGCGCTACGAGTCAACAAGCTGGGCAAGAGCTCTGTGACGTACGAGATAGGCGTCTTTGAGCGCGGGCAAGAGGCAGTGAAGGCTGTTGGAGAGTTCATCCATGTCTTCGTTGACCGCGAGAGCAGAAAGCCGGGCAAGGCCGGCATGGCTGATGAGCTGAAAGATGGCTTGCAGAAGGTTCAGACGGACAATGCCAAGCTTTAGTAACTGAAAAATAACTGCGACTCGTCGATGTTTTCTGTGGTGCTCCACTTGGATGCAGAATTGTCCGCTCGTAAGCACTAAAGACAAATCCCTCATGCCCGGAGGCGCTCAGCTTTGTCGAGAGAGCTCTGCCTACCGGCCGAATAGATACGAGGCCGCCACAATAGTTCAGAGAAGGCGGGGTACCGCGGAACACCAAGCGACCTTTGCCCAGGTATTCTTTCTTTATCTTTTCTCTCGAATCGTGGTCTCGACGATCTGTGGCTACCTGTCGTCCCAACGCTAGAACATTAAACGACGCACTGTCTCTGCTCTGAAAACCGGCGATTGTAAGCTTCACAAAAAAGAGCCACCTCCCTCCACAGCACGTGTCCTGCGTCGTGTATGTAAACGAAACATGTTAGCTTGCGACCTAACTCCGACTACCCGTCGGATATCACCACTGCATCCCATCGTATGCAAACCGTACCTAGCTCATCCTACTAACAGCTGGAGTTACATGCCTCAGACCAATCGCCCAGGTCACATTGCTCAGCTCTAGACTCCTAACAACAAGATCTCCGGGTCTGGCCTCTCTTTGAGCCTCGCAGCGCCACCGCTCGCTTAATCACCTGACATACCCTAATCCAGGCGGTGTACCTACTCCAACATCAGTCAAGCTCCCGCGTCTGAACCTCTGTTTGGAAACCGGACAGTACTATTTGAGACGATTAGAATCGACGCTTTCTCGCAATCGCACAAGCATGAATGGTCGCTGAAGATCACAGCTTAGTCCGCACGTGTTGGGGGGCTATGTACTAGGTTTCCCATGACGGGTGCACTTGTAGTCTACAATGTACCCTTGATACCACGCTCTTGACCGGAACTACATCTTCTAAGCTCTGCACCAGAACAGCAGTCCCCTGCCTTGCAGTGCCTTGCAGAGCTTCTCAATGGGCTTCATTCGTTATGATGGCCCGCAGATCTCGGTACTGCACGCAAGGCCTCGCTGCTAGACATAGAAATTCAGACCAGGCTAAGGCACATTGCACTTGCATATTGGCTAGGTCTTACGAACTTCGACCAACTACCATCGAGGGCTTGCCTTGCCAAGTATGGCCAGCTGTACTCCACTGAAAGACACGTTTGAACGCCGAAGACAATGCCATACCAGCAATGGACCACTGGTCCCGATTTACTGTCCCTCGCTTGGCAGCATTCACCACCGCTTAGTCAGTGTCCACAATACTCTACTCTACCAGGCAGCATTCGATCTGTCTAGTGCACCGGCTGAGCATCATTAAGCTAGCCAAGCTTAGCCCTCAACTTGTACACAAGCAATGAGGCGCAAGCCAGACCCAGCCATTTTCACCTGGGGACTGTCTAGATGGCATTCTGGACGTAATATTCGGACATACCGATGGAATTGTCGATCCCGGGGCAGAGTGGTCGAAGTTTGAACTACCTATAAAGACATACATCTGTACTGCCGTACAGCTTCCACTTTACAAGTTTCTCAAGCAGATTCTGAGCTTTCAATATCTTCTCCTGTCGTACGCTCAGCCCTTCTTCATTTACACTATGCATCTCGCCAATCTTCTTCTGTTGGCCTCATCCGCCGCAGCAGTTTCACTGCCAAACTTCCTCGATGTTTCATCACTCTTCACTCGCGACATCCTTGCTCGCAGCTCTGGCTCGTGTCCCGCTGTCTGGACCCAGATCTCCAAGGACTTGACAGCAAAGTTCTTGACAGATGGGCAATGCAATCCCGATGCTCGCGCAGCTATACGAGCTGTGTTCCACGACTGCGGAGGTTCGTCACTCCTATACACACCTAGCCCCAATCACTTATAAATCTCAGCATGGAACAAAGCCCAAGGCGCCAAAGGCGGTTGTGATGGAAGTCTCATCCTTGCAAACGAAGTTGCTCTACCTGAGAACAACGGTCTCCAAGGCATCGCCGCCTATCTGCAAACACTTGCCAGTAATTACAAAGTTGGCGTCGCAGACATGATCGGTATGTGTTTCATCTACTCCACAGCATCCGCTCTTACTAATTCACACAGTCTTTGCAGGTTCCCACGCAATTGTTACCTGCCCGGGCGGCCCACGTGTGCAGACATACGTCGGCCGCAAGGACTCAAGCACCCCTGCGCCAGAAGGTCTCCTTCCTGACGTCAACGCGTCCGCAGATAGCCTTTACAAGCTCTTCCTAGACAAAGGCCTTGACGCAAGTGACCTCGCGGCCCTCCTCGGTTCACACTCGACCTCCAACCAATTCCACTTTGACGAGAGCGCAGGAAATGTCGGCGCGCCTCAGGACTCAACCCCCGTGAGCCCTGAACTCTAAGCCCTAAACCTGACCCTAACTAACCCAAACACTAGGGCATCTGGGATGTAAAATACTATTCAGAGACCACCGCACCGCCCAAGGGCGTTTTGGTGCTGCCCTCTGATGCCAAGCTTGCTGCGCATGCCACCGTTGGCAAGGAGTTCAAGGGATTCGTTAATAACGCAGGGAAGTGGAATGGTAAGTTTGCGGATGCGATGGCGCGTATGGAGAGGTTTGGGAGTAATGGGACTAATGGTTTGATTGATTGCACCAAGGCGTTGCCGAGTGCGACGAATGCAAAGAGGGAGTTCAGGGGAATGCCGATGTTCAAGCCGAGGCATTAGGGGAGGGTTGATGATGGTTATGAGTTATGATTTCGTACATAGACAACATCGGAGCTTTCAATCTTCAAGATCACAAACACCAATGCCCGAACTGTGTGCAGTATACCGTGTCCGTGCACTCAATGCACGCCGTCAGTCAATGCACGCGATCGCGATTCCGTCCCAACTTTGCACCCTCCACAACTCAACGCCACAATGACTATGGAAGAAGCCCTTGCAGAGCTAGATTCTCTTGACTCCAGCGAAGAAGTCTGCTACGCAACAATAGCTAAAAAGCATAGTGTTGATCGCTCAACGTTGTCGCGCAAGCACTAAGGTGTCAGCAGGTCGCGTGTAGAGGCAGGTTTAGCACGTCGCAATCTTCAACCAGAACAGGAGCCAGAGCTTGTGAAGCACATAGAAGGCCTGACAGAGCGAAAGCTACCTCCTATAAGAGACATGGTGCAGAATTATGCGTCTAATATAGCTAGACACCCTGTCTCTAAGAGCTAGGTCACACGCTTCCTCTACTAACACCAGGATAAGCTTACATCTAAATGGAGCACTTCTATAGATTAACAACGCCACGCTACTGACTCTGGTAATAAGTACAAGGTGTACTTTGAACAGCTAGACAGCAAATTTAACTTCTGCAAAGTAGAGCTAGAGCATATGTACAATATAACGTATTCCACAGGCGAGCGCCGCACACAGGCGAGCGCCGCACCCCACCAAACTTACGCACCTTATTTAACGTCTAACTTAACAACGTTATAATAATGTATAACATACTCTATCACTGAGCTAGTTATATCACTAAACCAGTCAAAATCTGCCAAGACCAACACAACTCTGCACTTTACAGTATGTCTTAACAACATCACAACTTATTGCTTCATCACAAAGGGAGACTGCAGCTTGCTCTCTAGGCCTATAATACTGGACAGTTTCAGAGCCATCAGGCTGCTGCTGCTGCGTTTAACGTTAACTAGCGCAGGCTCTCTAAACGCGCCAACAATACTCTATTTTAACTTAACGTACGCGCAAACTGCTAGAAGCTTACTGTAACTAAAGAGCAGACAATTGTCTAATATATCCTTAACCTTAATTTACAAGGGTTTGCGCCTTAGCTATGTAAGGTAGTAGATATAGCTAATAAACTATTAGGTGTGTGTAGTAGGGAGCCTATTAGTAAACTCTAGGCTATAAGATTTATAACATATTTAGATTAGCTTAAGATAGTGTTTGTAACAACGCTCTACGAACAGTGGCCCAATACCACTAGGATACGGTTCCAGCGACTTATGACCACAGCCCTTGTTACATAGCATAAGCTTGCACTAAACTGCTACTAAACCCTTATATATAAGGAGCAAGGAACTATTGTAGTAGTCTGGCCAAAGGCCAATAAAGGATATCTACTTCCTAACAACTTTTGCTAAAAAGCATGCACAAGTTAACTAGACGTCTAGTTAACTGCGTAGATAATATATATCTAGCTTAAGCCAAGCCGGCTAAGCTAATGTAACCGGCTAGCTCTAGCTCTTCTTTAGCTTAAGAGTCTAGACCGTTACACTAAGAGAAAATGGCTAGTTTAGTGATATTGCTGGCTTAGTGACAATCTACGTTATAAAAATAGCCTTTATCAACTATTGTAGTTGCCACAGGATCCTACTGCTTGTCTTCCTGCCTCACAGTACACAGACGTTGCAGCCACTAGTGTAACGGTCTAGACTCTAAAGCTAAAGAAGAGCTAGAGCTAGCCGGTTACATTAGCTTAGCCGGCTTGGCTTAAGCTGGATATATATTATCTACGCAGTTAACTAGACGTCTAGTTAACTTGTGCATGCTTTTTAGCAAAAGTTGTTAGGAAGTAGATATCCTTTATTGGCCTTTGGCCAGACTACTACAACTAGATGTGGGTTGCTTCTCACCTTTTGGCAACAACTACTCTAAAGAAGTTACTAAACAATTACAATAAAGCCAGGCCTTCATAGGCATTAAGAAGCGTCACTTCTACAAGCTGTTCTGAGCTGCCTGGCACTAGGCTGGCGGAATGGGTATACTCCAACGTCCTTCGTGGGTACCCCCCAAAACTTTGTCAATAATACATGGATTCTAGCGAAATAGGGCTTAAAAGAAAGAGAAAAACTACCTCTACATTTCTGTAGTAGAGGGTTTTGTTATAACTATTAAACTGCACAAGCTAGAGGCTAGAAAGGGTTAAAAAAGGGGGGGTACCTAGCGAGCATACCTATTAATAGGTATACTTTGCTAGGTAGTGTTAATAACTCAGCTAATACTAGGCAGAATAAGCTAATTCTTTTTTTATTAGAAGGCGCAATACTAGGCGCTTCTATCGAATAATAGATTATGTAAGCGTATCTCTGCTAGTTAAGAAGCTATAAGCCAAAATGTAAAAAAGCATACCCTACCCATCCGCCAGCCTACCTGGCACCAAAAATTTACCTCTAAGCTTGTGCTAAGCTTGTTTAAAGCCACAGGCATTTCTCCACTAAATTTAGCTATAAAACTTAATGTAATGACGCAGGTAAGAAGAGAGGTATCTAGAGTAGGTGTAAATCTGCTAAAAGGTATATAGGAGTGCTAGGATAATAAGAACACTAGGATATATTCTTGTCAGATGCTCATACTGTGAGCCAGAGTATGTGCTTAACAAGATCTTAGGTGGTATAATGATTTATTAATGATTGTGGCGATGGTGTTTCTGCCGTCGCGTCGTGCTGGTTGCTACAGGATTGAAGTGGGGGGGGAATTAGCGCTGTTCGCGGCCGCCTGTGTGCGGGCCAATCAGGAGTTGCCAGGTCTCGCTTAATCGACCTGGCAACTGCTGATTGGCTGCGCGACAGGTCCCTGCTCAATTGCGCAGATCCGACCTCTTGCCGCTCGCTCTTATCTGACAATTCTCTACACCTAGTTATAGGTCTTACATAAAAGGATATAGAAAAACTACTCTATAATACTACAGTTCCTTGCTCCTTATATATAAGGGTTTAGTAACGTACTCCACAGGCAAGTCGCCCACACAGGCGAGTTGCCCACTTTTGCCAAGCCCCCACCAAACCTCACCCTATTATTGCCCAAAACACCACAAACAGGCGCTGTACAAGGCAAGACAAGCTGTAATATTACTTAGAGACTACTTCTACATCATTCTTACACGTTCGCGCGTTATGTCTAGTCTTACTGCACTGTCCACAGCGCCTTTAGGTCAGCTCAGCCCTATTAGCGCGCACCCGCTTCTTTACCTTCTTACCATCACTACGCGCCCTAAACTCTATTAGAGCTATTAATTACTGCCCCTCCTTAACTATTAGGGTCCCTTCTGCCTTAACTTGCTTTCTTTTGTGTAATTTTTGTTGTGTGGCTGCCTTATTTGCTGCTTGAAGCTCAGCAATCTCCTGTTGCGCCAACACTAGTCTATGCGCAATTATTGCTGCCCCCTTTAACACCTTCTTAAACGCTTCAACTATAGAGGTAGGTAAGCTATCTATATGCCTCTGAATCCTTGTCTTCACAAGCGTTGATTGCGACCTAAGTTTAAGGGTGTTGCTTAGGGTTTGCGACTGCCAGAGCACGTTGTTGACGGGTAGTGGTGGTGATAGAGTGCGCAGCTTCACATAGGCTGGCGGATGGGTAGGGTAGGGTAGGGTATAGGTATAGTCACGTGATTTATGGGTAGGAACTAGGTAGGGTACATGAGGTACCCTACCCAAACGGTTTGGGTAGGGTAGCACGTGACTGGGTATAGGTATAGGTAGGGTAGCACGTGACTAGGTATAGGTATAGGTAGGGTAGCTAGGTAGGGTCTAGGAATGGGTAGTTATTAGCAAAATCTAGGTTACTACTCTAGACTTTGTACTATTGTATACTTTAGAGCATAAGTATGTGATAATAGACTGTGATAATAAATTATAGATGCTTTTTCTTCTAAGTATTGTGTATGCGAAAGAATCTACTAGTACAACCTAGGGTTAGTTGTATACAAACTAGGTTAGTAATATACCCAAACCAAACCTATACCTAGCACGTGCTACCCTACCTATACCTATACCCAGTCACGTGCTACCCTACCCTACCTATGGTCCGTGCAACCCTACCCTACCTATACCTATGGTCCGTGCGACCCTACCCTACCTATACCTACGTCCGTGCGACCTATACCCTACCTATACCCTACCCTAGGTACATGGTACCCATCCGCCAGTCTAGCTAATAGTACGCTCCTTTGTATGCCTGTTAAAGTGCTTTATCTAGTCTAGACTAAGCTTGTTAGTAGTCCAGCCATTATTAGAGACTCTAATAACCTAGTCTTAAGGCAGATCCTCTTCTTTGTACTAGGCAGAGAGGTGGTGGTGGGCCTTAAAGATAAGGAAGGCTGGGATAGCCCATCCTTTAGCATTGATGCTCACTATAGCTGTAGCCCACTCCTAGTTGCCTAGTTAGACAGCCTTTGGCCGACCTCGTCGTTCTAAAGCTGTAACAACTGCTCCTGGGGAGATCTGGCCTATCATGAAGCCTGTCTCGTCGAAGTTGTACATGTCTTCATCCTGGATGCCATACTTGGCTTTGACGTTGGCTACTAGGCCAAACCAGCCCTGCAGAACCTCAGGATCCTCACAGAGAGCTCTCTTGTAGTCGTACTTGCGATTGAACTTGACTTTGAGCTCTAGGTGTCGCTTAACAAACATACTGGGCCAGTTTGTGCCAATAGGGCCCAGATTGCGCTCAGCGCGCAAAGAATTGGCCATAGTAGCCACATCTAAGAGCCAAGGGGAAAATCCTCGCCAGTCTAGCTCAAGGACATGTTCAATAATCACCTTCTCCTCGTTGTTGTCCAGCTTCCGCGAGTTGGCCATAGAATCAGCGCGTGAAGGTCGTCCTGTGTATCGGTCGCTTAGTGTCTTTCGAGGAACCCCGTAGATAGCTGCAGCGCGTCGCTGAGAGAGAGTCGCGTCTTGTTTAAGAGCCTGGAGCGCAAGCTGCATCTGAGCTTCCTTTAACGCGTCTAAATGGTGGTGTTGAGGAGGCATTAGTGTAGGAAGGGTGGTTTGGTGGGGGCTTGGCAAAAGTGGGCAACTCGCCTGTGTGGGCGACTCGCCCGTGGAGTACGTTAGCAGTTTAGTGCAAGCTTATGCTATGTAATAAGGGCTGTGGTCATAAGTCGCTGGAACCGTATCCTAGTGGTATTGGGCCACTGTTCGTAGCGCGTTGTTACACTTAAGAGGTTTAAGAAGAAGCCTAGCACACAGCCTCGCACTCTATCTCCATTATTCAACGTCAATAGGCTTGCAATAGAACAGTTCTGCAAGGCAACAGTAAAGGATCACACAAGCTATGAGGCAAGGAAGCTAGTTTGCACGTTAAACTACGTAGCAGCTCACAACGCCCTTCTAGAGGTAGAAAACGAAGGCCTCCGCAGCTAAATTGACACCAAGAAGGCCTCTCAGAAACACCGCCAAGCCCTGCCATTGCAGGTCTCTAAGTTCTATACTTCTACTGCGATGTTCTGGTCTCCATCAAAGGTGGATGAAGCCCAGCAATAACTGCGTCTCAATACTCGCGCCCAAGCAGAGAAGACCGCTGCAAAGCTTCGCAGAAAGACTGAGCAAGCTGAGAAGAAGGTTTAAGATAAGCATGAGAAGGAGCAGAAGCGTAAGCGTCAAGCAAAGGAGAAGGAAGAGAGAGCCAAGAGTAAGGCTGCTGAAAAGGCTGAGAAAGAACAAAAGAAACAAGAGCGCAACGCAGTCAAATGTATACAACTATCTCAAACAGGCAAGCAAAAAACCTCACAGAAGCCGCCTACAGAGCCAGCAGCCAAAAAACAGCGTGTGCGTGGTGCTATTCAGGTTGTAGTTGAGGGGTCACCTTCCCCAGCACCTCCACCAGTTACCACCCGCAGTGGCCGCACCACATGCCCAAATAAGAAATGGCAACAGCGCAAGCACCGTAGTACTTATTAGACTGTTACAACAAAAAATCTCGCAATAATAGCTATTGTATGTGGCTCTATAGCCTCATTTTGGTGGTTGCCGCAGGTGGTTTTCGCGTGCACGGTCCCTGTACACTAAAGTACAACAGCCATGGCCGCAAAATCGCTCCACGTAAAAGACTGCATATATAGGTGTCTTTGGATAGGTCAAATAAGTAGTTCACCAGGAAATCTCGTGATAATAGCTATTGTGGGTGGCTGTAGAGTCTCACTTCTGTATAAGCGTGATGGGGGGATTCGGCGCATCTGGTGATGGCGCGCATCTGCTGACTAACTACGGTACCGTGTCCGTGCACCCAACGATCGGAGTCAACCAACGATCGTTCCGAGCCTGTACGGCCATCACAAAATTGAGGCTGTAGAGCCACCTACAATAGTTATTATCCTGAGATATTTTGATGGAGCATTCTATAGACCTATGCGACAAAGTTCATAATACAAAGTCACTGGTATTTCGTGGCAGTGCGGCCACTCTGGGTGATTATAGTTGGGCGTGGCAGAGGAGGTGTCGCAGGCTTAGGATGACTACGAGCACCTACAGCACGACGCAGAG